GCTTCATGGGGATTCAGAGGGCTTGATGGGGATTCATGATAGGGTTTGAAAGGGTGTTTGTCGGGGTTTGTTGAGGGTTTGATAGTGTTTAAGGTTTTTACAGGGTTTTATAGTTTTCTACCTGGGGTTTGGGGCTTTTTGAAGGGGCCCGGGTTTAGGGTTTAGGAGTTTTGTTTCGGGATTATTAGGGGATTTTTGGCATTACTCCGTAGCAGAGACCCTAAACTCCACCTACGCTTGATGATATAAATCCTGCATTACCCATACTAAAGAATATGCCATGATTCCCATAGTTGAGGGTCCTTAGGGCAATGCAGGATTTATATCATCAGCCCTAAACCCAAAACCCCCTATAGATCCCTTAAAGGAGCCCCTTAAAGGTACCCTTATAGATCCCTTTAAATCATCAGCCGCAGTTTTGAGAGCTTGTTGGGGTTTCAGGTTTTCCACTAGGGTTGAAGAAACCCCAAAGTTCTACCGAGCTTGGGGGGTTTACGGCGTAAGATTCCCCTAAACCCTAAACCCTAAACCTTAAACCCTAAACCCTAAACCCTAAACCTTAAACCCTAAACCCTAAACCTTAAACCCTAAACCCTAAACCTTAAACCCTAAACCCTAAACCTTAAGATGCCTTAAACGCCATTGGGGGTTCAGCATGTAGCGAGACCCTGAGCTCCTCCGTGTGGTTTGGGTGTGGGATTGCAGAAGCCCCTAAAACCTATATCCCAGAGGGTCCTATATACACTACTATTATGGAACTAGGTCCCCAAAACCATAATGGGGATGGTTTTTTTAGGGCCTAATTCCATAATAGTAGTGTATGGACCCTCTGGGTATCGTGTGGGTTCAGGGGCGGGTTGGGTTTTAGAACCCGTAAACGGGGTTGAAGGTACATCCTGAACTCTGTTTCCTGAACCCTGCCTTCTCACTCTAAGCCCTAAACCCAAACCTAAACCCTATGTCACCCTAAGCAATATTCCTTAAACCCTAGACCCTAGACCCCTAAACTCCAAACCTAAACCGAAGGTCTAGCATCTCGCAGCTCATGCACGCGCGGCGAGCCAACCGCGAGGCGCAAGCCAGCGGGGCGGGCGCCAAGGACCTGCCAAGCGAATTTGGGCTTTAGGGTTTAGTAATAGGGTTCAAGCTTAGTTAGGGCACAGGGTTTAGAGTTTAAAGTCCTAGGTTTTTGTTTGCCTCTTTTAAGGTTCGGGGTTTGGGATTGTAACTGAGTTTCATAGTAGTGCTGTTGGTGATATAAATCCTGCATCACCTTAAGGACCCTAAACTAGGGCAAACATCGTATATTCAGGCAGGAGTTTGATTATCAGCCGTCTTGCTGGGAATTGGGGGTGTTTTGGGTTTGGTGGCATTAGGGGTTCTCTCCCGAAACCCTAAACCCTAAACCCGAAACCCTAAAGCTAAGGTTTTTTCCGAGGAGAGTCAGGTAAATCAATCCGACTCCCAGGCTACACAGCATTGGTGGGAACTGAGGCGCCTTAGGGTTTAGGGGCTTAGGGCTTTAGGGTTTAGGGGTTTAGGGTCTAGGGGTTTAGGGGTTTAGGGTCTAGGGGTTTAGGGGTTTAGGGTCTAGGGTTTAGGGTTTGACGTTTAGGGTCTGGGGTTTAGGGTTTGGCGTTTAGGGTTTGGGGTTTCGGGTTGAGGGTTTCGGGCTCAGGGTTTAGGCTTTATAAGGGATTAAACCAGCTCCCAAACCCCGACGCTAGAGTCGATCCTGATCCAATACCCACCTCCTCAAAGCCTGCTCGGCGCCAGCTGAAATCCTAACCCCTACGTTCCTAACCGCAAAGCGAAGGACATGGCATCCCTGGACGGCCTGCAGGGTGGTCTCGAAGAACTACTCGGCGCAGGCCTTAGGTGAAGTAGAACCTATTCAAAAATGTGGAGTGTTTTCTCATAAACGGTTTCCTGTGTTTCTAAATCCCTAAACCCTATAAGCCCTAAACCCTAAATCCTAAAACCCTAAACCCTATAAGCCCGTGGTACACTTATGAGGATTCTTGACATGTAGCGAGCGTATAGGGCTCCCCACGAAAATTGGTGAGTGTGTATTTGGGTCGGCCGCCCTCACGAGCTTTCGGCTTGGACTTTAAGCAAAGAAGCTCAAGAAATGCAAACCAAAGTTTAATCTTTTGATAGTTAAGGCCACGGCTGCGATAGTATACTGAGGCCTGTCTCGGCGCATCCAGGAGTACGTGCGGGCCGTCCAGTCGGGAAAGGCCACGATGCAGATTAACTTTAGATCTGGAATCTCAGCAAACGAATGTAGGCCCCTGCTGGGGTTTCAGAAAGTTCATGCAGGCCCCCATCATAAGTTAAGCTCTCTTCTTTTGAGGACACGTAAGCTTACGCTCTCTCTACAAATATTGAATGAGGGGGAGTTATATAGTCAGAAGGGGATCCCGTTCCGGTGTCTTCATACCGAGAAAACTGCTATTTCAGAGTTTTCGCTGACCCCCCCCCCCGACACACCTACCTCAAATTCTCTCAATAATGGGGTACTATGATCGTGCGAAGAAGCCCTGTCTAATGATTCAAGGAGCCTTCCTTCACGAAGGGGATGTGTTGGGATTTCTGTAGGGGCTATAGCGGGTAGGGTGAGTTCCTGCGCGCTTGGGGTGTTTTATGAGGATATTGCTAACAACGAACCACCCCCATTTTTATGTCCTCACTGCGCACACACACACACACACCTTCAACCCTACCTGTAGTCTCCATTGTAGTTCCTTTTTGGGGTTACCTTATAGGATCCATATTATATATTTGGTTAAACCAAAAAAAGGAACTACAATGGAGACTATAGGTAAGCACTAAGCCCGAAGCATCACACCCCTGAGCCAAATAACCTGAACAGCTGCAGGGCAGGGCTCGTTCGATCGGCTCGTACAGGTGGTCAAAGCTTGCCAGAGGTTGAGGGGTTTCAAGGGTTTTTGGTTCAGGGGTTTATGGGGCTGGGAGGTTTATGGTGGGTTTAGGGCTTATTCGGCTGATTGTTTGCCAATTCAGGGTGAGGGGTCACTCCGGGAGCCGTTTCGTTCGCCCTTTAGAGACAGGCAGATTGCATTGACAGTTATCTGCAGAAGACTTCCTCCTAGCAAAGCCTTTGGAACTCGCGTACAGTGGAAGCCTTATGATATTCTATAAGGCTCTCATCGGAGTCATGCGGAGATCGATCGAACTTTCAGCTATATACTCTGCTTCCATCGCCGCGTCCCTCAGCGTTTCTGTTCCAGGGCACTTGGGCTCATGGAGAACATTACATCCGGCAACCCTCTGAAAACCGCAAACTTTCCGACCTTCGACGTATCGGAAAGAGCTCCAGGTCAGGTCGGACTTACTACATTCATGAATGGTCCGTCATTACGGATCCATATTCTTATCTTCGGAGTATTCGAATAGGTCAGAGCTCTCGAAGTAGCATCCCACGCCCTGTGATTTGTCTGCCTGGTGTGGCATTTTGCCCAGCTTCCAGGCGCAGCGCAGCAGAGCATTCGGGATTTAGGTGTTCAGGGTTTTACAAGGGTTCTGATACCTTTGGGTTTCCGTGAAGGTTCAGGGGTTTAGGGCTCTGTGGTTTGGGATTCAGGGTTTCGGTGGAATTCGAGTGACGTTGAAAGTTCAGCTGCTTTACCCTAAACCTAAAACCCTATAGTGGCCCCAAAACCCCATTCTATTTGTTAAGGCCCCTACTATATGGGAGTTTCCGAAAATAGTGGACACTAATGTAGTACCCTAAATTGTAGGATCCTGATAATAAGGACCCCAAAATAAGGTAGCCCCTAATTTTCGGAAACTCCCATATCAAGTCGCAGATGGGGATTCAAACTTCTTGGTATCAGGGCAGACGAACTTGGAGAGCCTTGATGAACTTCAGCGTTTTCAAGCTAAGGTTTCGGGGTTCAGGGTCTACAGTAAAGGCCGGAAAGTTGGAATATGATTATCTTAAACCATTTATGGTAAATTATGGGGTATCCTACCCTGAAACCATATTCCAACTTTCTGGAGTTCCCTTTAAGGGTTTAGGGTCTACCAGCACTCTCCTAACTACCCCCTAGTATACCCTGTATATCCACTATTAAGGACCACAAGGGCTCTATGAAAGGGGACTTGGGAGGGGGGGAAGGGCATAACCGTAACCTTAAACCCCAAAGCCCTAAACTTAAACGGCCCTAAACCCCAAACCCCTTACCCCTGAGCCGGGTTCAGGGTCTAAAGGGGTTTTAGGGTTAAGGGGCGCCAGACCAAGACGGAGGAAGCTTCAAGAGCAGAATTAGGGCTTAGTGCAGGGCCTACAGCTTCGAAATTACCGTAATGTATTTCACCATAACACACTTTAATATAGTATAATACAACATGATTTGTTATTTTGGTACTACATCTGCAAGGCGTGAACAAACCAACGCTGAAGTAGGGCAAGCCATGCATCTGCAGCAAGCATCGTGCCAAGCAGGAGAACTGACATTCATGACTTTATGAGTTCGCATTTGTTCAAATCTATGCAGTCAATGTCTGTTGTGCCTGATATGTCAAACATGTCGAACATGGTGGTATATCCGCTAGTAGAATAATAACACTTTGAAACGATCATCACTCAATCGACCAGCTATACGGGAGCTTCCGAGAATAGGGCACCCTAATATAGTACCCTAGTAGTGCGATGCTTATTATAAACCCCAAATACGGTACCCCTAATTTTCGGAAACCCCCATACTTGTAGGCAGTTGCTGATCATGTCGTTTCGGCCTAGTAGCACTAGGCTGCTTTGCTCATGTCCGTTATCTTGGCTGTATGATAGTGACATGATGTAGTTATACAGGGGCTCTGACGGGATGCAGCCCCTGTGCAGCTCTGACTCCGGCAATGCTTGAATCGTTTGTTAGTAGTTATATGCACATATAGTCTTACATCAGAACCGTAATATAGTACGAATCCCTATTCTAGTCGTTTTATATATGCCTACCATAATACAGCCAGGCGTCATGTACATCGAAGAGGTCATCATTGATGGGTTCAAGTCCTATTCCACGCGCGTGACTGTCGGACCCTTTGATCGGCAGTTCAATGCTATCACAGGCCTGCGTGGGATGGGGAACAGGTGTGCAGCCCTTGCAGCTCTGAACTTGAGGGCCGTTTATCATTTTTGGGATGCGGGTGCTGTATTTTGGAGCAGGTAGTGGGCCATTATACTATAGTTATAATAAGGAACCACTCTAAATAGTATTGGTAAAAAAGGGCGTCTTCGTCTGGAAGTCCAGCCACGCGTTTTCCGCTGCACCATGCGTGTCGCTAGGTCCGGCACATTGAGCCATCGGCATGGTGCGGTGGGTTACGGGTTTATAGGGCTAGGATCCCCAGTAGTACCCTTATTCCCTTTTTGTAGTCCTAGGTTCCTTATAAAGTTACCCAATACCAAAAAGAGAGGCCTGTTTATTCTTAGGTTACTGGGTATCCTAGTAGGGCTAGAACAGTCTTCGAACAGTATGTGACACATGCAATCCTGCAGAAAGCCAGACATACAGCACACATCGAGTGCACATGATTTATGCTCGCTGAAGGTCCTGCAGGCTTGCGCTGTCCTTGCACTCAGTCTCTCTGCTTACTATAGGGGCCTAAAAAATTACCAATACTATTTAGGGTGGTTCCTTATTATAACTATAGTATACTGGCCCCAGACCCGTATTCTCTTTTATGAAGGCCCCTAAAGCATTTTCCTTTCCAGGCATTGCGAGACCTCACGAAGCTCATGAAACTCAAAACCTCAGACCATTGCAAAGCCATTGCACGAGCACGAAATCTATTCCCCCTAAACCCCAGAGCCTCAAGCCCGCTGTAAGGGTCTCTTAAAGTCCCGATGTAGTGGCACTAAACCCTAGAACCCTAAGGCTAAAACCAGGCCGAAAAAGGGCCACCTCCCAACTCTGGGCAGGTTTGAACGGCAGTGGCAAGTCGAACATCTTGGATTCGATTTGCTTCGCTCCTTGCCTTTATTCAGTCATGCAGTTCAGGGAAGCAAGAAGCTTGTGATAATATGGTTTGTCATATGATGCCACTTCGGCTGCTAGCATACCAACACGAACCACAACAGTAAGCGAAAGACAGCCACTAGAACGGTGACCACAAGCAACGTCACCCTCGTTCCAGCACTAGTTCCCTTACTAATAGGTATTATTATTATTATTATTATTGCTGCTGCTGCTGCTGTTACGACGACGACGACTACTACTACTACTACTACTACGACTACTACTACGACTACTACGACTACTACGACTACTACGACTACTACGACTACTACGACAACTACGACTACTACGACTACGACTACCACGACTACGACTACTACGGCTACGACGACGACGGCTGTCAATACTGCCCTAAATCCTAAACTGTAGACCCGCCCTGTTCTTAGGGCTTAGTTTGTTTGGCGGGCGGTTCTGGGCCGCCCTGTCGATCAGCAGCTTACCTTTGGTTAGTAGGGAATGGAGGAATGGGGTGCACTTATAACTGCTATTACTACCATTCTTCCATTCCCTACCAACCAAAGGTAAGACTACCCCTATAGATCCCATTATAAGGAACCCCTATAGATCCCTTTAAGGAGCCCTATAGATCCCGTTAAGGAACCATTCCCTTCTGACCAAAGGTAAAGCAACGAGCCTTAGAAGCCAGGAAAGCCACAGGCGCAAACCCATGAAGCCGAAGCTCCTTTCCCTGAAAAGCAGGGTTTAGGGTTTTCGGGTTTAGGGTTTTAGGGTTTAGGGTTTTAGGGTTTAGGGTTTAGGGTTTAGGGTTTTAGGGTTGAGGGTTTGGGGTTGTAGGGTTTGGGGTTGTAGGGTTTGGGGGCTTAGGGGTTTAGGGGTTTAGGGCTTTAGGGTTTATGGGTGTAGGGTTTAGGGCCACGCAAACCCCAAAGCCAAACAAGCCCTCGAGCACCGCCAGCCTACCAACCTACCCAGAGGCTTCAAAACTACAAAGAAGGAACATACCTCAAACCTCAATTCGGATTAGCATTCCTATCATCATTGAGGTATATATCTTGATAGTGGGGTTTTGGAGCTCTGGGTAATCCATCCTAACCCTCTCACTGCCCAGGTTCTCGGCATCTCGAACTTGACTCAAGTCCGAGTGGGCAACCTCTCCGAGCTTGTCTACAAGCAGGGGCAGGCTGAGTGCGAAACTTTGGTAGAGACTTCGCGGTGTATAGGGTCCGCGATTTAGGGTTTGAGGTTTAGCCGAGCTTTTCTTTGGGCTTATCTATGAGTCTTGTCGAGAGCTGGCTTCGGGTTTCGGGGCGTAGAGCTTGCAGGACAATGGTCTTCAGGGCTTAACCCCCTAAACCCCCTAAACCCCCTAAAACCCACCAAAAACCAAAAAATCTAAATCTTAGGGTTGCGGTTGCAGCTATCGACACTGCCTCTTGACTCATTGTCTCATCCTGAGCATTTGAACTTGTCACCCCGTGAGTATTTGGGAAGTAAGTATAAGGCTGAGGAATGCTGAGGTTTAGGGTTTAGGGCTATAGGCTTTAGGGGTTTAGGGGTTCGCTCAGACTGGGGTGGGGGTGGCAGGCGGGCGTGACGAAAGCCAGCGTCACCGTCGTCTTCAACAACGAGGAGAGGGCGGGGTGGGCCAAAATAGTGACCAAGACCCGAGAGGTTCCTGGGTAGTTATGAGGGTTCCTTAAGGGCCCCTGTAAAGGGATCTATAGGGATTCTATAAGGGCAGAGGGTTTAGGGCCTACTTGGAGCTTCATGGGTAATTGTAAGTGGGGTTATAATTAGGCTAGCTATGGCTACAACCCCTATAAGGGCACTTATAACCCACATGATAACTACCCATGAACCTCCCCGGATGTACTTTATGCAATCAGCCCCTCCAAACCCAAAGTCCTAAGCTTCCGCAAGCTGTCCAGCCTTACAACGAGACGCCAAAGCCAGACCCTAAACTTCCCTCTTGCGCTAGTATTTGAGAGACCCCTTAGAGGGTACCGCTTCTGAACCCTACTGCTGGCTCTCTTAAAGGGGACCTTATTGAGAGGGTCTTTATCCCCAAGGGTCCCCTTAATCCTAACTCCCACATTTCGGGTTCGGAGCCCTAAACCCTAAACCACTAACCAAGGGTAAGAAGCTTCCCACATTTCGGGTTCGGAGGACAAGCAGGGCAGCCCTGTCGGCTATGAGATGCACGACAAGATCATCATCACCAGGCAGATCGTGATCGTGAGCGGGAATCGGGTTTAGGGTTTAGGGGCTACCTACGGAACCCTAAACCCCTATATCAACCCCGAGGCAGATCGTGATCGGGAATCGCTACCTCCGGAACCCTAAACCCACCTCCTGAACCCTAAACCCCAATGTAAACCCCGAGGCAGATCGTCATCGGGGGCCGGAATCGCTACCTCCTGAACTCGCACAACGTCCAGCAGAACCAGCTTCTGGCCTATGACGTATGATGTCGTGTTGGTGTTCGTACCCACCGGTTGGCATTTATGTGTCTTCATGGTCTTTCCGGGTGGACCCGAAACCCTAAACCCCTAAACCCAAAACCCTAAACCCCTAAACCCCTAAACCCCTAAACCCTAAACCCTAAACCCCTAAACCCCTAAACCCCTAAACCCCTAAACCCCTAAACCCTAAACCCCTAAACCCCTAACCCCTAAACCCTAAACCCTACCGTCCTTTGAATCATTCGTGTTTCGGGTGTTTCCATGGCTTCCTTTCGGAGTGAGGGCTCTGGGACTGCCGGGTTGAGGGCTTCTTATAGGATCCTTAAGGGAGGGGGGTGTTTGAGGGGGGAGGGTATATAGGGTTTAGGGTTTAGGGTTTAGGGTTTAGGGTTTAGGGGTTTAGGGGTTTAGGGTTTAGGGTTTAGGGTTTAGGGTTTAGGGTTTAGGGTTTAGGGGTTTAGGGTTTAGGGTTTAGGGTTTAGGGGTTTAGGGGTTTAGGGTTTAGGGTTTAGGGTAAGCGTTTTATGGGGATATCCCTACCTTATTGGGCTTCATTATAGGGGGTTTATATGGGACATCCCTATCGTAATCTTAAGGGAGGGTGGTTTAAGGGGGGAGGGTATAAGGAATCCTTAGGGGACTGTAAGGGAACCTTAGGGAGTACTAGGGAGAATTAGGGATCACAAGGCTATATACCCCCCTTGGACCCCCTCTCCCTTAAGGATACTACAAGCTTCGGTGTTGAATTAGGGACCCAAAAAACAGATAGGCATAAGCATTTTATGGGGATATCCCTACCTTATTGGGCTTCATTATAGGGGGTTTATATGGGACATCCCTATCCTAATTTCTGCTTATGTGCTTTCTTGGGCCCTACTGAAGGCTTGGGATTGAGGGGTGGGTGCTTAGGGAAACGGGGCTTTAGGGCTTGAGGTTTGGGATTTAGGGCTTTAGGGTTTGAGGTTCGGGTTTAGGGATTTAGGGCTTTAGGGTTTGAGGTTTGGGTTTTGGGATTTAGGGCTCTAGGGTTTGAGGTTTGGGTTTAGGGTGAGTCCTTTCAGTGACGACGCCTCACCAGACCATCAAGAAGTCATAGTGACGTCGTCTTCCCCAGACCCCTCGTGAAGCCTCCAGCCAAACCTGCGAACAAAGCCTCCACAAAACTGAACCCCCAAAAACCCTATATCAGTTCCGGCCCCCTAAACGACTAAGCCCCTGAAGTGTCAACAGTACAGCCTGAAAACCTCAAAGATAAAGAACCGTCTGGAAGCCCTTATGCCCCAGAGTCCTAATTGCCCAGAAAGCCTATTTACACCCTACTTCAGCCCCAAACCCAAAACTCTGAACCCCAAATCCTAAACACCAACCCCCAAACCCAAAACCATCCGAGGATCCAAAATCTGTTCCATTCCGTGTCCCTGCGCCATGGCATCTCCTTTAGGTTGCGGAGCGTCCGGTTTCGCTTTGGGGTTTGAGGATATTGGCTTTCCGGCGCCAGGCTTGAATTGTGGAGCTCGGGGTTTCAATTCTCAGGCTTCGGGTCAGGGAGGGTGTAGGGGTTTGGAAGTCAGAGGTTCTAGAGTTTAGACTTTGTGTTTAGTGTTTGAGGTTTGGCGTTTAGAATTTGTCGGGCAGGGCCTAAACACCAGCCGGAACCCAGTTTCAGCACCATCGGCCTTCAACCTGTGCCGCGTCAAGGAATGTGAACAATCCTCACTTCCTCATCATGCAGGGCCGGATTACGAAGGTCATCAACATGAAGCCCCAGGACCCTGGGCTGATCCTGGGTTTTGGGATCTTGGGGGTTTTGATCTTTGAGTCTGCATGGCCCAAGACTCTAAACCCAAAGCCCTACGCCCCAAGCCTCAAGGTTCCTAAACCCGAGGCCCCTAAACCCGATTTCCTAAAACTCTAAATCCTTAAACTCTAAACCCTAAACTCTAAATCCTTAAACTCTAAACCCTGAACTCTAAATCCTTAAACTCTAAGCCCTGAACTCTAAATCCTTAAACTCTAAACCCTAAACCCTAAACCCTTAATTAAGTTCTAAACCCTGAACTCTAAACCCTAACATGGCCTAAAAGCTTGGGTTTTCAAGGCGTCACCTGCCACGTGTTGGACAGGAGACCCTCAGTATGATCGAGGAGGCTGCTGGTACCCGCATGTACGAGAACAAGAAGGCCTCAAAGAGGGCTTAGGCTAAGGGTTTAGGGCTTAGGGTTTCGGGTTTAGGGTTTAAGCTTAGGCTTAGGGCTTAGGCTTAGGGTTTCGGGTTTAGGGTTTAAGCTTAGGCTTGGGGCTTAGGCTTAGGGTTTCGGGTTTAGGGTTTAAGCTTAGGCTTAGGGTTTAGGGCTTAGGGTTTCGGGTTTAGTGTTTAAGCTTTGGCTTCTTTTTGTAAGGCTTAGGGTTTCGGATTTAGGGTTTAGGGTTCAAGCTTTGGCTTCTTTTTGTAAGGCTTAGGGTTTCTGATTTAGGGTTTAGGGTTTATGGCTTTGGCTTTGTTTTTGTAAAGGGCCCTACACCCGAAGCCGGAACTCGCAGGTTTAGGGCTTTCAGAGTAGTGCAGACGTGTGGTTAGCAAACGCCCCCTCGCCTCAATATGGGCTTTAGCAGGGATCCCAATACTGCAGGGTTTAGGGTATATGTTTTGGGGTTTAGGGTTGGGAGTTTAGGGTTTGGGGACTCTGTCTGGTGCTTAGTGGGGGATGGGGGAAGGGATTATGAAGACTATGATTGGGGATTATGTAGCGACTACTATAGGGATCCGTTCCCCCATTCCCTACTAAGCACCAGACAATACTGTGGCCCTGAGAGAGCGAGGTATATTGCTGCAGGGGCCTGCGTAATTGATACTTGCAATACTGCTCCTCGAGCCAACCCTAAACCCTAAACCCCAAAACACCTAAACCGACCCTAAACCCTAAACCCTAAACCCCGGTGTTGTGGCTTCTGTACAAGTCCGGGGTTTGGTCACTTCTCCAAGTTTTGGAGCTGTAGGGTTTTCGGCTTCAGGGGGGCTTTGGGGCCTAATGTTTCCTAGAATTTTGGGAGATCCTAAACCATTAAACCCTATGTTATAAACCTTAAACCGCAAACCCCTACTTGGAGGTTCATAGGTATTTTAAAATGGGGTTATAAGTCTCCTAATAGGGGTTATAACCATAGCTACCCTAATTATAACCCCACTTATAACTACCCATGAACCACCAAGTAACCCCTAAACCCTATACCCTTATAGAATCCCTATAGATCCCTTTAGAGGGACCCTTAAGAGGAACCCTTACAACTACCCATGAACCCCCAAAACCCTGGAACCTGGGATCCTCTGCGCGTTGGGCAGGCCGGGGCTTTAAAGACCTTGGAGAAGAAGCAGAACAAGGCAAGACAAGGGCCAGGGTTTAGGGGTTTAGGGTTTAGGGGTTTCCGGGTTTGGGGTTTGGGTTTAGGGCTTAGGGTTTGGGGATTGGGGGTTTGCAACTTTTGTCATTTAGCTTGCTTTTTTAACGGGTTTTTGGGGGACAAAGGAGTGTTATTCAGGATTTCAGCGGCTCGTTGAGGGTATGTAGGGCTGTAAGGTTTCAAGGCTTAGCCGTTTCAGGCTGTTTGTAGGAGTTTGACCCTAAACCCTAAACCCTAAATCCTAAACCCTAAACCCTAAACCCTAAACCCTAAAACCTAAACCCTGAGGGTTCTGGGGCTTTAAGGCCTTCGGTCTCTAGGCTTTAGGGCATGATGTGTTGCTGCTTCTGATAGACGCTGGGCCTCATGCTTGTTTTTTGAAAAGGCCGCAGCTCCGATTAGGGTTTAGGGTTTAGGGTTTAGGGTTTAGGGCCAAGGTTTAAGGATTTCGGAGTGTGGAGGCTTTAGGGATGCAAGCTCGCGGTTTTTGGGGGCCTAGCGTTCGTCGATGGTGTTTCAGGGTTGTGCAACTTCTGCAAGTTCCTAACCCTACACCTATATCTTAGAATGGGTCCCCACCCTGGATTATATTAGGTCCCTATTATATTCCTGTTCTACCACTATGACAGGGTGGGGGCCCCTTCTAACCTATAGCGCTATATCCTAAGTCCTGCAGCCTCCTTCACACGGAACTCTCAACAGTACCTACACCCCCAGATTGCCGGGGCGTGAGGCCTCATAAAGGCGTTCAAACCGGTGAAAGAACGATCCTGAACCCCCCAGAGTCTCGGAGACGTGACGAGCCATGTGAAACAAGAAAGCCTACCCAGAGAGCCCAATACTCCTAAATTAAGGAATATGGCTTAAACCATAATATGAATCCCCTTATAATTTAAGGTATATTCCTTAATTAAGGGGTATTGGGCTCCCTGGGTAAACCCTGATAGAAACCTCATCGAACCTGCCGGAACCTCTTGACGAAGCCCTCCAGAACCTCTCACAGAGCCCTTGCCCGACAGCCAGGTCGATGAGATCAACCGCCTCCTCTCCGAGGAGATCACTCCGACCTTGGAGAAACTTTGTCAGAATTGGGTAACCTTTCAAGTTTTTACGGGTACTTAAGCTCAAGAAGGGATCGAAGTTGTCATTTTTGATACTATCCCAAGCACGGGCCAGGAAACTCCAGAAGGAGCGATCCAACTACATGCGACCTGGACGGAGAAAAAAGTTTTCGGTTTTGAGTTCTTAGGATTTTGGGTTTGGAATTTTAGGGTTTTGGGTTTTTGGCGGAGATCTCTGGGGTGGCTGGGGTTTCGGATGTTCAGGGTCTGGGGTTTAGTTGAGGCTTGAGGTTTCAGCACTGGCACACCACAGCTCTGGATCAATATCCTGCTAAATATATGGCCCCAGGCTCGCGCCCCTACCCAAAGGCCCCAAATTTGTTCCTTTTGGGGATTACCTTATAGGATTCTAAATATGAACCACAAGAAGGAACTACTATGGGGCCTATGGGTAAACCAACAAGGCTAAATGTGCCCGGAACCCAAAACCAGACATGAGCCCCACACCTTTCCGCACCCTAAACAAAGACCCCAAGAAAGGCGGAGGGACAAGATACACCCTGAAGTTTGCCCTAAACCCGACACCCTTCTAGAGAGCGCTTATGGGGTTTTAAATGATACTCGCTACTTGGGCAATCATTGAGGGTGGGGGAGGGTGCCAACATTTTTGTGTGGCCCCTTCCCTTAAATCTTAAACCCCAAAGTTGTTCTGGGCCTGAAACGTCAACCCTAAACCCTAAGAGTCAGCTTCTCAACCCTTCTTCGTAACTTCCAGCGGTCCGAAACTCAGGCTATGGGTCTCCAACAACAACGAAATTGAGCGCCTCGAGCGCTTCTGCGCAGCTGGGGCCGAATAGAGCTTGTTCTGTGTTGATTTTCATATGTTTGTTCGTTGGCTTTCGTGCGTATGTTTTTTGTGTTCTGCTTGTTCAAAGTTTTCCTTGCAGTAGATTGGTCGTGGTCCCGTCTTAAATTTGAAGCGTCCGGTAGCGGCGTTAATCCCACTCATTTGTTGATTTACAATGGGGAATGTGAAATTTTGAACTCATCCTGACAACATGGGCTCTTTGAAGTATTATGCTCGAAGTAGCAGTGTTTCCGTGGGTTGCTTTGACGCCAGCATGTCTTTGCGATTTTGCTGAGTTCTTTGTGGGAGCTGTTGCTGTGGTGAGGCTTCACTTACTCTTTTTTGAAGAGCTCTGAGGTCGCCTACGAGTACGTGCAGTTCAAGAACCGTCTGGAGAACAAGAATCAGCAGCTCGAGGAGATGGAGGTGCCGGGCGGATGGATGGCACATGCAGACTTGCATGCGCATGTACATACATGTCTATATGTCTGTACGTATATAGATATAGAGGGTACGTATGTATGTACGTACATAGGTATGTATGTATGTACTTGTGTGGGTATGGCATGGTATGGTACGGTTATGTTGTGGTATCTATGTATGCATGTATGTATGTATGCATGACGGCGATGGTCATGGTCACTTTCTTGTTACTACAGCTATTGTGGTAACTTTCTTGGTATCGTTACCAATATCACCATCGCCAACGCCATCAACATCTTTCACTGCCACCATCATCATCACCACCATCACCACCATCATCACCGTCACCACCGTCATCACCATCATCATCACCATCACCATCACCACCATCATCATCACAATCATCACCATCATCATCACCATCATCATCATCACTACTGATCGTGCTGCAGCTGCTGCTGCCACGGCGTCTTCGGTCGTGACTACGTGCACTTGTCCTCGTGGCAGAAGGTTTACTATCGGTATCATCGGCACAAGCGCACGAAAACACGCAGACAATCTCGCGCTCCTTCGTCGTTGCGATGTTGCGAGGAGACCCTTGGGCAGCTCGTCTCGGCGGTGAAGGCCCTCATCGAGAGGGACGCAGCCATAAACAAGGAGGCCGGAGAAGTAGGATTTCGGGCTTCAGGCCAATATAGGGTCCTAAATAATTACCAATATCATGGCTAGGGTTCCTTAGTCTAGCTATAGTATGAAGACCCCAAAGCAATATTCTAATTATTAAGGCCCCTATTTTAGGGGGCCAGCCCAGCATGACTACATCCTCAGCGGATCGCGGGTTTAAATCGTTGGGTTGCATCTGTTTTTTGGTGTAATGTAGGAACCTGATTAAGAAGCCTTGAGCCTTTATTAGGGTTCCTTCTGTGAATCCTACTATTTTGGGGGGGTTGTAGGCCCAGGGTTTCTGAATCAGGTTCCTACATGATTGCCCCCGAACACCTCGCCCCGGAATGCATGCCGCAACGCACCCTGAACCCCGAGCTCAGCCCTACAGGGAGAGGTCCCAAATATGCAGGCCTCATGTTCGAGCATGGGGGTTTTGTGGCATCATCTGCCATGCTCATGTTAAGGAACCCTCAGGAAGAATACTTTGACTTTTCCTAGTAGTAGAGTATATAGGTAACCTTTAATCTTTTTGGGTAGTGTAGTCCCTACATAATTCCTATATACCCTAACAAGGTTAACCCTATTAGTTCCCCATGATACCCGACAAGTAGGTATTTAGGCTCTTATATTAAGAGCTTGGCTCTTCCACGCTCTGCGACAGAAGGCCCCAATTCACTGGAGCCCTGGTGTTCGAAACCCTGAAATACCCTATGCCCTGCAGATCCCTTAAAGGAGCCCTCATAGAGCCCTTTAGATACCGAACTCTTATAGATCCCTTTAGATACCCTATACCCTGTAGATCCCTTAAAGGAGCCCTTACAGATCCCTTTAAAACGACCCCCCCCCAAGCGTTAGATTTGAGGTTTGCATACAGACTCTGGAGGTTCCCCTGTTGCCCATCTAGAAATATGCCGTAACCGATTTCAAAACCATTCTCTAACTGCTCGTGCCCTTACGTCAAGGCTGCAAGTGTTTAGGCTTTAGCATTGAGGGTTTAACCCTAAACCCAAAACCCTAAACCCAAAACCCTAAACCCAAAACCCAAAACCCTAAACCCAAAACCCTAAACCCTAAACCCTAAACCCTGACAATTTCAATGGGCCTTGGTGGGGGGATCGAGGTGTGCAAACTCGCAGAGCCCTCTATGCTATGTGCTGCACCCAGGCCCCTGAGTCCTCTAAGGTTTAGGGTTTAGGGTTTAGGGTTTAGGGTTTAGGGTTTAGGGTTTAAGGTTTAGGGTTTAGGGTTTAGGGGTTCGAAATCTCATCTCCTGTGTGACAATTTTTGCAGGCCAGGGTGGAAGGACTCAACACACAATTATCCCTCAAACTCTTAGCCTAATGATTTCGGCACGATCTTAGGGGTCAAGGCGGCGCAGGAGCATAACGATTTAGGGCTTGTAAAATCCAGACCTTAGCTCGAATCTGCACACCTCATTTCTCATCCTCAGCCCCCAATGGGATTCTTTAGGGTTTAGTTTAATTAGTGTTTCAGGCTTTGGGGTTTAGGGTCTATTTAGGTTCCTAGATTAGCAGGTGAAGCAGCGGACGGCTTCTCGCGACAAGGCTCCCGCTATCCACAAGCTCTCTAAACCCAGCAGCCTGAATAATTTGTACTAGTATTCCTGAGGGTTTCTATGTGGGTGGTTGTCAAAAATTAGGATCCCTTTTTGGGTCCTTACTATAATGCGGCACCGAATATTTAGGGTACCCAAAGAGGGACCATAATTTTGACACCCTACGAGTAGTATCGAAAGCTCAGGGCTTAGTGTTACTACGAGGGTTTGCAAACGGGGTGAGCTTGCGAGTTTCAGAAGAGTTCTGAGAGGGTTTTTGGGGGTCGGGGTTCTTTGGTCAGGGCTTGGGGATGCGGGTTTGTCCCCTCTGTGGTTTCTGTTTCAGAGCTTATAAGGCTTATGGCGAAGTTTAGGTCTTAGGGTTGAAGGTTTACGATTTAGTGTAGAGTTTCTGGTTGTGTCCCCTGTTTGTTTTTACGAGGTGTGCGTGGGTCGTTCTGTTGGCGTGTGGTGTAGATTCGCTCCACCACTCCCTTTTGAAAGGACGCTCAGCCCTACTTAGAGGGGCAGTGGACCTAGTAAGTCGTTCATAAGTAGGGTTATAATTGGGGGTAACTCCATTTAGGGTACTTATAACTCTACTTATGACCTACTTAGTAAGTCCCCTGCCCCTCCAGGTAACCCCCAAAGACCTAGAGAAGCCCGAACCCTAAGCCCTCAACGCTAAGACCTCAGCCCCAAACCCCAAACACCCTCAACCCGCCTCCCCTCCCCAAACAGTAGAGCCTCAGCCCAAGGACCCCCAAAAACCCTCGACCCCAAACCCTAAACCCTACTCCCTAAACCCCAAACCCCTAAACCTCCGAACCCTAAACACTACTCCCCCAAACAAACCTTGAACCCCTAAACCCATAAACCCTAAACTCTAAACCCTACTTTCCCTTTTTGTTCATATAAAACCCAAGAGAATATTAAAGATCTTATTTTGATTATGGTTCTAAGGGGGGGGTATAGTAAACCCTTCTCCCCTCTCCTTCTCTTCGTGGAACATTTGGACTTCTCTTGGCGAAGGCCCGCTCTCAGGAGCTGAAGAAGGTCGAAGACGAGCACAACAAGCTCTCCAAGGAGACACCCTTTTTGGACTTTATATAGGATATGCTTTAGGGCTTTCGGATGTTTTTAGGACTTTATATAGGACATGCTTTAGGGCTTTGGGATGTTTTGAGATATTTAGGACTGAGGCTGCTCTCAATCAAGGTGGTTCTGTTAGAGCTAGCAAACTCTGGAAGGTGATGCTTCTTTGTTTTAAAAGTTGGGGCGTACGATAAGTGCTACTGCGCGTGTCTACGGGTTACCACGGGGGTTATCTACGGGTCACGATGAGGGTCCTGGGGTTTAGGGCTTAGAGGTCTTAGGGTTGAGGGTTTGGGGCTTTGGAACTGAAAGGTGCGCTGAAAAAAGAGCCATCATAAGGGCCCCTTTGAAGGATCCTATGCACAAAACCCTAAATCCCAAACCCTACCCAGACCCACCCCCCATTCCCCTGTAATATACCCCGCAATCCCCACTCTTAAGGACCATATAAGGGCTCTATCAAAGGGCCGCTTAAGTGGGGGTCCACGGTTTAGGGTTTAGGGATTAGGGTTTAGGGTTAACCTAAACCCTAAAACCCCAAACACCTAAACCCTAGACCAAGGAGCCCTCTCGAATCTTTCGTTACCCCAGAGAGGACAATACCCCTTAATTAAGGAACAGGGCTTGAATTATAATAGGGCTTCATATTATGATTTAAGCTATCTTCCCTAATTAAGGGGTGTTGGACTCTCTGGGTACCCTACAGAACCCTAAACTTTATGGAACCTTAGACCCCTTAGCCCTATCCCCCGAAGCCCTAAACCCTAAAGGATGCCTAAAGTTGGTGTTTGTAGGTGCAAAGACGCCGGAGTGCGTCTGGGCACCAGTGAAACCACGCTCATCCCACACCTGTGCGAAAAAGGTGGGACGAACTCGAAGAGTGTCCCTAAAGGATCCCTAAGCCCTTTGGCCCTAAACCCCACAACCTGCCCCAGAGACTCCAATGTCCCTTAATTAAGGAGTATACCTTAAATCATACTAGGGTTCCTACTATATTTTAAGGCAATATTCCTTAATTCAGGGATATTGAAGTCACCTAAACCCTAAACCCTCTAGATCCCTTATAGGATACCTTAAAGGAGCCCTAGGTATTCCTGAATTACGGGACATTGGAGTCTCTGGGCCTCTGAGTATCAAAAAGGAGATGGCTTCCTCGGAGTCCAAGCTGAAGAACAAGAAGGCACCCGGTGGGTAGGCCTTGGGGACATTTTGTATTTTCCCTCAAGATAGCCCTGACCTGCCATCCCGACAAGGCCAGACTGAGGGTTTAAGATGAACTAGGTAGGTGTTTGGGATATTTATATTTTCCCTTCTTGGGCTTACTAGGACCCTATGTACGAAAGTTGTTCAAAGGCTTTGAATCGAAGGGCCAACCTAGACCTGGGCTTCCGACGATCTCTGGGTTGCAGAAATTCCACCCAGAGCACCTTTTTGGGGTGCAGGGTTTCGGGGTTTAGGGCCCTTGGGCTTATAGGGTGTAGGATGAGGGCTTAGGGGTTTAGGGGTTGGGGCTTAAGTTGGAGTTCAGAATTCAAAGACGTCAAGACACTTAACGAAGGAAAGTAATCGGGAGAACCCTTACATCACCGCTGACGAAGCCTGTAAAGCCCCAGAGTACCCAAAGAGAGAACCCTTTCGGAATCGCAAGCCCTTGTGCGACCTTCTCAATCCCCAATCCCTAAACCCTTATCAGCCCTGTATAAGACCCTTAAAGACACCTCCACCAGAAACCCCTGAACTCAACCTCCAAAGTCTGCGCACAAAGATAGCAATGTACCAGGCTGAGCTCGAGTCAGAGAAGGAGCATCAGAAGAAATCCAGCTCAGGCAGAGGGCATTTTAGGGTTTAGGGTGTATGGTTTAGAGTTTAGGGTTTAGGGGTTTAGGGTTTAGGAATTAGAGTTTAGGGTTTAGTGTTTTGAGGGGGTCGTGGGGGGCTTGTTGTTTTTCGTTTGTTGCAGCTGGTGTTCGGGAGACATTTTTCTGGTGTGTTGTTTCTTTGTTCGGAGGTGATTCGGGGCTTATAGGGGTTTCTCGGTAGTGTTATGAATTGCATCGCTCCTTGCCGGGGAGCCATGGCGGGATTATACGGCTGGTTTAGGTGATCTAGGACCCAGAGTAGGCCCTTATTCCCTTTTTTAGGGTTCAGGTTCCCTTATAAGCCCCTTTAAACCAAAAAGGGCATCCTTTTTATGCCCGGGTTACTCTTGGGTCTAGTGATTGGGTTTTTTTCGACTTGAGGATTCCGTTTGAGGCATGAGACGCTCAACCCTGAATAGGTTAGAAGGGGCCCCCACCCTGCAACAGTGGTATAATAGGAATATAATAGGGCCCTAATATAATCCTTATCGTACTATTACAGGGTGGGGGCAGCTTCTAATGAATCGGCTTCACAATCGAGTTCAAGAGCAGGTACCTCTGTCGTCCTTCTTACAAATGCTGCAGAGGGACATGAAGAGAGCAGCATAGCTTCTAAGGAAGCTTGGGGCAGATGGCGCGAATATGATTTCCCATATGGCAAACGACTCCTCGGAAAATGCAAAAACAAAACAGCCGCCAACTCCTTACGCCCTAAGTGAAAACAAGCCTACGCCTTAATACCTTGAACCTTAGAGTTCCCCGTCTCCGCAAAGCTGCTACTCAGGAAGTTGGTCAGGTCCCCACAAAAACAGCCTGCCAAAACCCCAAACCCTAAACCCTAAACCCTCAACCCCAAACCCTCAACCCCAAACCCTAAACCCCAAACCCTAAACCCTAAACCCTAAACCCTAAACCCTAAACCCTAGACCCTAAACCCTTAGCCGCTTCCTAAAGCCCTGAATTCGACGGCTCCGTAAGCCAGGCATGGGTGACCTCAAGAAACAGCGCCATGGCATGAATTTAGGGCTTTCTGGGGTCTACGGTTTTAGGGGTTTAGGGGTTTAGGGGTTTAGGGTTGATTTAGGGTTCATATAGGGGGTTTAGGGGTTTAGCGTTGATTTAAGGGTTCATATAGGGGTTTAGGGGTTTAGGGTTTTTTTTTCAGGTTTGCAAGGCTTCAAGGTGTGTAAGACTTCGGATCCTCAACCACAAAGCCCCCGTAGAACCCGAAAACCTGAAACCTAACACCTGAAACATGAACCCCTAACACCCTGCAGCCTACAGCCTTTAGCCCTGAGCCCTAAAATGCTTTGGGCGTGAGATTTGGGGTCTGTGAGTTTGGGGATGGTCTAGGATCTTATTTTAACTTACAACTGCCCTCTATGTACCCCAAATACCCAGTATAAGGACTCTATTAAAGGGTCTTTGGGGGGTGCATGGTAGGGTTTCGGGTTTCGAGTTTGGGTTCAGAAGCAGCTTACCCAAAGGCCCCAAAGTAGTTCCTTTTTGGGATTACCTTGTAGGGTTCTAGGTATGAACCACAAAAAGGAATTAGTATGGGGCCTTTGGGTAGGTTGTGTGATATGGCGTTTAATATTTCGGCGACGGGCTTTGGCCACAGTTTTGCAGCTCGGGACCAAGTGGTTACGCGCTGGGTGCGTTAAAGCCGATGGTTGGAGGTGTGACCGGGTACTACCAGGACCTTTCTAATTAGAATAGGTTTTTTGGGGTCTATCATACTATAATTATAATAAGGACCCCCCTATTAAGGCCCCTGCATGATTCAGATTTGGGCTTTCGAGAGCGAATTGGCCACGCCGAATATGGGCGCATTGTTCCAGCTTATCCTTCGCTGTATGTGTCTGCAGTGAAGTGTGTTCCTTTTCTTTCGGATGCCAAATAAAAGCTCCGGCTGGGGTTTGGGAAGAGTCAATTAGGTTCATGGCTGCGTTCTCCAACCGTACATAGCCTCTGAAATCCACAAAACCCCGGAAGCCCTATCCTAAACCGCAAAGACGAACAACAGCAACACTCTGAGAATAGTTGCATACACACATGTTAGGTTTAATTCTCAGCTTCAACCATAAGAAGGCCTGGAAAACCCATGTACGAAAGTTTTACAGAACCCCTTCAAGGAATCCTTGTGGAACAATAGGTTATCACCTTAGGATATCCGGAAGCCCTCAAAAGGGTCCGGGATTCATGAAAACCCGAACCCCCTATTAAGGCATCCTTAGCGAACCATGGGTCCTGAACCCTAAACCCTAAAACCGTAAACCTAAAACCCTGAACCCCAAACCCTTTAAGGAATCCTTAGCGAACTCTGGGTGATCAGGTTGGCGCAGAAGGAGGGAGCCTTCGAGCCCCTGGGCCAAGTGGCTCCTGGCATTCCGGGAGTGTTTAGGGTTTACCTAGACCCTAAAGAACCTGCCTTTTTAGGGTTCCCTATTATGATTTCCTTATATAAGTCCTTAAAACGGTAGGTTATTCCGTGTTAAGGTAGGGTTTAGGCTTTAAGGTTCGGGCTTCAGGGATTTCGCTTCAGGGACTTAGCGTTTCGGAGAGTTCAGGGTTAAGGTTTAGGCTTCATTGGCTTCGGCGTGTCGACGTTCAGGGTTTGGGCTTGAGGGATTTCGTGGGGAGTGTAGATACTTTAGTGTTTGTATATATATATATATATGTATGTGTGTGTATATACAGATATACGTATATATATATATATATATATATATATAGGTATGTATATATATATATATATATACACACACACTTGTATCGGCGCTCAGGCCTCTAGGATTCAAAGCCGAACCCATAACCCTTAAAAAGCTAAAGCCCGAATCCCGAAGCCCTAAACCCGGGTGGTAATCCTTATACGAACCCTTACAGCAACGGTATAGGAACCCTCCTACAACCTGTATAGAGCCCCTGAAACCTCTCAAGAAGGGGTGCCGACGACTGACCTTTCGGCTGGCTCTTCAGGAAAGAGAAGGGCAAGTACGAGAAGCTGGCGCAAGAGGATGAGAACACCAAGAAGGAGGGGTTTCAGGGTGTCGGGTTTAGGGTTCGGGATTGAGGGTTCATGTTTCAATCCGGGGAGGATATGAAGAGACCAAAATCGGATTGGCTTAAGGCCTTTGAAGTTCGGGCTGTAAGGTTCTATTCACTTTTCAGCTTTCTAAATGATCTTTTTTCAACTTTCAGGGTGTGGCATGTGCATGGAAGACCCTAGACCCTAAACCCTAAAACCCTAAGCCCTAACCTAAAACCCCAAAACCAAAAATCCTAAACCCTGCTCCCCTCTTTTTTCTCCAACCCTAGGACCCCAAAAACCCTAAAAGCTCCCTAAAACCCTAAACCCTAAAAGCCCTCTAAACCCGAAAGAAGACCCAAAACCCCAAAAGCCCTCTAAACCCTAAAGAAGACCCAAAAGTCTAAACCCTAAAAGCCCCCCAAAACAGCCCTAAACCTAGAACCTTAAACCCTAAACCCTAAAAGCCCTCTAAACCCTTAAAGAAGACCCTCCCAAAAGAGAGCCAGGAGATCGAGCGCGCCCAGTGGTCCATGCAGGCGCTGACGGCGGGCTCCTGGGCTGACAATGGGGCTTTTTGGCCTAGTAGGGGCTACCTAAATCCCTTAATTAAGGAATACGGAATACCCCTTGGGTTTAGGGTTAAGGGTTACCGGGACCCTAAGGAACCTGCCTTTTTAGGGCTCCTTAATATGATGTCTTTAGATAAGTCCTTAAAAAGGTAGGTTACGTGGGGTTAAGGTAAGGTTTACTGCAAGGGTCAATATAAGGATCAATATAAGGATATGGTATAGGGGCCTTAATAATTAGAATGTGGTTTGGGGGGGCCTATTATCCCAGATTTAGGGGCCACCAAAATCCCTTAATAAAGGAATACCCCTTGGGTTTTGGGTGTGGGGGTTTAGGGCTCTTAGGGTTTTTGGCTTATTAGGGTTTCCGAAAATTACGGGTACCTCCTTTCGGGGTCCCTAGAATAAGGATACTTGGGGTACAATATTAGGGTCACCTATTTTGGGAAACTCCCATATTAGGGGCTACCAGATTTAGGGGTGTAGGGGTTTCGGGTTTAGGTGTTTACGGTTTTAGGGGGTTTAGGGGTTTCGGGTTTAGGGGTTTAGGGTTTCAGGGGGTTTAGGGGTTTAGGGGTTTCGGGTTTCGGGTTTAGGTATTTAGGGTTTTAGGGGGTTTAGGGGTTAGGGGTCTAGGGGTGTAGGGTGTCTGGCTTCGGGATTTAGGATGTATTTCGTGTGAGGCTTCGCGCTGGGGTATCAGGGTTCCAGCTATCGGGCTTGGGCTTAATTAGGGACGATCAGGTTGCGGGTATTTATCTCCAGCAGCTTTAACTGACCATGCATTCGGAACTATTACAAGCACCTAATTACGCCCTAGACCACCGAGCCCTACATTCCTTAGAAGAAATCCCAAACCCCCTAAACCCTAAACCCCAAACCCCCTACACCCCCTAAACCCTAAAACCTAAACACCTAAACCCGAAGCCCCCGAACTAACAATCTCCTTCCGTTTCTCTGTGCGAGGAATGGCTGAAGCCCCGGCACCGGATGCCGGCGAGGGCCGCTCCATGCGAGAGCAGCCTCTCAGCGGCGGATCATGGGGCTTTAAGATTTGGGGGGGTTTCTTTAAGGGCTCCTTCAAGGGATGCATAAGGGGTCTAAAAGGGTTTATATAGTGTTTCAGGGTTGTTGCATAACGGCTTTCTAAGGTGTTGAGAAGGGGTTTATAACGGGTTCAGGATTTTCGGGTTTCATGTATGGGCCGTAGTATTTCGTATAGGGTTCGTGTAAGGCTGTCTAAGGATTCCGTTAGGGGTTCTATCAGAGTTTTCGGGTTTATGGGCTTGAGGGTTTTGGGGACCAAGGATTGTGTCTTAAGGGTTTTGCAGACTTCTTTGCGCTTACTTACTGTTTGCGCATTTAGACATACTTTCTGTGTTGGGGGTGCTATGGTTTGGGTTTAGGGCCCAAGAGGGATTGCTTTAGTGGATGCTATTGCTGAGTCTTCTTGGTTTGTCTCAGTGTTAGTCTTCTTATGTTGATTTTGCCCTAGTGCTTCCAAGCCGCATTGAGCTTGACAGCGCCCCGGTACCAAAACACCACCTAGACCCTCCATCTACCTTCTATTAGACCCTAAATGCCCCTTGTTTGGGACCACATTAACCCTAAGCCCTAAACCCTAAACCCTACCCTATACCCCTGTTTGAGGATACAAGGAGGGTCCTGGCAGAAGCAGAGACTCACCACCTACAAAAGTACCTTAGATAGTAGGGTCCTTATGATAAGGATCCCAAAATACGGTACCCCTGATTTTCGGAACTATAGGAACCCTGAAAAGGAACCCTTTTTAGATCCCTTCACAGGAGCCCCCAATTTTCGGAACTCCCAGAATCAAAGACTGCAGCCTTCTAAAGGCTCTTGGCAGCGCAGACGCGTCTGCAAGAGATGCAGGCCCGAGCGCCCGCTTTTTAAGGGTTTGTGGGTTTAGGGTTTAGGATTTGAAGGTTTAAGGTTTTGGGTTTTGGGTTCAGGGTTTAGGGTTTAGGGTGTAGGGCCTTTAAGGGGTTGAAGGCTGATATAGGGTCTTAATAACTAGAATAAGGCTTGGGGGGTACATGATACTAGAGCTATAAAAAGGAACCACCCCAAACCGTATTCTAATTATTAAGGCCTCCGCGTTAGAGGGCTTGGCCTGCAGGGGTGGATCGGGGTTCGGGGTGGCAGGATTTGGGTTGTGGCTGTCCAAGTAGTCCTCATTTATGGTTTTTGGCGCCTAACAAAGGCCCTGAAGTCTTGTAATAGGGAGCACTTGGATTTTCTGGGCTACAGTAGAGTTTAAGGTTTAGGGTTTAGGGCACCAAGTTCAGGGAGCAAGAGGTTGAAGCCGAACCTGCAGGCTTGGCTTGAACCCTAAGCCCGATAGCCAAAACTCTAAAGCCCTGGCCCTAGCCTTTACCTCAAAGAACCTACCTTTTTAAGGGTTTATATAAAGAAATCATATGAAGGAGCCCTAAAAAGGTAGGTTCCTTAGGGTCCAGGTAGCCTTTACAGCCACTGCCGTACAACCCAAAGCCCTGGAGGCCTTAAGCCCTTAAGCCGAAATTCAAGACTCGAAGCAACCACGAGCGAAATCCCAGCCTTAAGATCCTAAATCTCCGTGTAAAGGTCGGAACCCGGGCCCTTAAAAGCCTAAAACCCTCGATGCTCGGTCCGTTTGACAGGCGGAGGAGAAGACCAAGACTATGGCGATATCCAGCCTGAAGGTGCTTCAGGGTTTAGGGTTGAAGGGGTTTAGGGTTTGGGGTTGAAGTGTTTTAGGGTTTAGGTTTAGGGTTGAAGGTTTAAGTTTGCAGGTTTGGGATTTAGGATTTGGGGTCTGTAGGGTCTGTTCTTTTCGTTGTATGTCTCCTTCTTCTCTTCGATGTCTGTGAACTCTTTTCCGAAGTACGCGGTTCGTTGGTGAGTTTCCTAGGGTGCCATCTCGCTGCTGTTTCGGCACTTGTTTCGAGGGTTGGGGAAGGCCGTGATTCAGAGCGAAGTGCTTCGCCAACACGAGCCGCAGCCAGAAGTCAGCAACGAATCTTCACAGACAAAGCTTGAAACTCTTTAGATGCCAAGCCTTCTGGGCTGCGAAAGTTGCCAAAGCTCAACATAAAGCTCCGATTACATCACCCCACCAAAACAGCAATCTCTGAGCACCCAAATGCCATGTAAAACCCCACATAATTAAGCCTGTACGAAAGCTATAGAGTATTGGCTAATCTATAGGCCCTGAACTCTAACTTATGGAGGCCCCAGGCTACTCATAGTAGCCTTCAATTCCGCCACTGGCGCAGAGAATGACCTCAGAAGGCCAATGAGACTGAGACTAGTCCAACCCATGGCTCGGAATGCTCGCAGTGCCAACCCTAAAATCACCGAAACCCTGCGCCCGAAATCCTTAAATCCTACATGCTAGACGCTAAACGCAAGCCCGCCGCCCTACGTGAGCGCCTTGAACCTCCACCCCTCTAGAACGTCCATGCATTCAGCAAGCAAAGTCTGATCAGAAGCCTAAACTCGGATGCCCAGTAGCTTATTCCCTTTTTGTAGTCCTAGGTTCCTTATAAAGTTATCCAATACCAAAAAGAGAGGCCTTTTCATTCTTAGGTTACTGGGTATCCTAGCTAAACACAAGCTTGTAGTTTTAATGTCAAAAGCACGAAGCCCCAAACTTGAAGCCTTAAGCTTTTTCTGCAACATCCCAACTCCTAACCCCAAACCCCTCACCCCTAAGGGCACCTGACAAGCTTTGTAGATTGAACACGAAACTCCCATGTTATATAAAACACCCCCGAAGCCCTACAGAAGCCCTCCAAGCTGAAGAACACACCAAAACATCAAAAACAAGCAACAACACCCTAGATATAAGCCCTAAACCTTCAAAGCCTCAATCCCAAATCCAACACCCTGAGCCGCAAGCCCTAAACTCAACCTCCATTGTAGGAACCCCTGCAGTAACCTAAACCCGTAAACCCTGAACGGAACCCTATACCCCTAAACCACCCAAAACCACCAAATAAACCTAAAACCCACCACAGCCCACACCCCTAAAACCACCAAAACCCCTAATACCACCCTAAAACCCCCAAAGCCACCCAAAACCCCTAAAACCCCTAACACCCCCAAAGCCACCATTCCCGGAGCCGGGATAGACTGCCAGGAGCGCATTCACAGCTCCGAGCAGATCCTGGGCCGAAGCAAACAGGACCGACGAGCCCAGAAACTTTCGAGTTCCTGAGGGTTCTATAGGGTTTAGGGTTGAGGGGTTTGGGGTTTAGGGCTTAGGGTTTCTGAGGGTTCTATAAGGGTTTAGGGGTTTGGGGTTTAAGGTTTCTGACCTGGACCCCAAAGTAGAAGAATGGCCTTTCTAGAGGTTTTGGGCCATTCTTTTGCCTACTTTTGGGGGGGTCTAGGTCGGTCCTGGTCTCTGGGCCCAGAAAGCCACCAGTTTCTGAGGCTTCTTTCAGGGTTCCCTTAGCCCACCAAGCCCTACTTTTTTGTAGGTTCTTATTGTTAACCCCCAATGTGGAATTTAAAGAGACCCTACAAAAAAGCAGGTTTTGGTAGGTTAAGGTCTGTAATGTTTTAAAGCAGGGTTCAATAGGGTTCTTCTTTGTTTATAAGGCTTTTGGTAAGTACCCCTCAGGGTCCAGGTAGTCCTGATTTATAGTGTTTTGGTACCTCAAAAGGCCCTAAAGTCCTATATTAGGGAGTACTTGGACCCTCTGGGTAAGGGTTCTCTATACGGGGTCGGAGTTACGAGCCCAGGGGCTACGGGGTACAAGCGTTCGGGATGTGGGCCCCGAGGTTCTAGGAGGTATGAGGGTTCTATGAGGGTTTGCGGGTTCTGTATTTGGGGTTCTGTAAGGGATCTATCAGGGTTCTACGGTTAGAAGGATTTCAGAAGGGTTTTTTGTTTTATACGGTTTCAATGGGCTTTTTATACGGGCTTTGGGTCATGGAGCTTGGTGGTCTACAAGGGTTCTATATGCTGATATAAAGGTTGACAAGGAGCGGTTGCACCTTCCTTCAGGATTCCTGTATGCAGGGTCTGGGTACAATGACCACAGGGTGTTAGACAGGGGCTTTCAGGGTTCCTTGAGTTTCTTGGGACGCCTCGGCAGGAGCACAAGCGCCTGGCAAAGGAGCGTGACGCGGTCGAAACCATCATCGTGGAAGCTCGGAGAGAGAATGGCAGGGGAGGCACAGAGGGTCCTCCTCAGGGCTTTGTCTTCATGTTGAAGTACCTTGGAATAATCATCCAATCTGCTGTTTGCGTTTACGCATCCCTTTACCGTTCTCACAAAGCGGTAGTTTAAGACCTAGTTTAAGTCGCGTCTTTAAGGGTGAAGTCGTGTCACCCTTCGTTTACCTGGTGTTAAGCATATTCTATCCGTATCGAGATGGTTGAGTAGTCATAAAGTTTGGGTTGTGCTTTTCTGAATGTGGTTTAGTGCCCTGATCGAGCTAGTTACTTGGAATGGGACATGAAGTTTCTTACCTTTGGTTAGTAGGGAATGGAGGAATGGGGTACAATTATAACTACTATTGCTACCATTCTTCCATTCCCTACTAACCAAAGGTAAGGTTTGGGTGGTAGTGGTTCTAGTGCCCTGCTAGTGATCTTCTCACTGCGTTTAGATCCAAGGTTCAAATTTTGAAACCCTAAACCCTAAACCAGTTCAAACTTCAAGCATTGGTCGGCTAGACTAGCTGTAGTTTCCCAAGATTGCGGTCGTAGCGCTTAAGGGGCGAGATGCTTTCCATGTTCGCGAACCACCCGGTCATCTGCGGCCCGTCGTGGTGTTCTACTTGTCATCCGTACTGAAGCCGAGTGCGACCAAGAGCAATCCTTTGTGGCAAGAGTTTGCCAACAAAGCTGGACGGGAGGTTTGCTTGGCCTCACAAGAGACAACGCCTCGCCAAAGTGCCGAAGTCACGGAGTCATCAAATGGTGGGAATTACAATTACAATAGCCATTAGTTTCATTATATTCGTGCCATTAAAGTACCATTACATGTTTATTCTTATCTATACTGCCATTGCCCGTACGATCACGCGCCCTAAACCCTAAACCCTAAACCCTAAACCCTAAACCGTCACTATGCATCTTCGTGTTTGGCCGCGTGCCGGTCCTCGGGCCTGTTCCTGCCGAGTCCAGTCGGGTTGAAACTCCAAGTTGTGTTTGATGCAGGGGGCTTAGTAATTAGAATAGGGTTTGGGGGTATATTAGACTATAATTCTAATCCCAACACCCTATTCTAATTGTTTTGTTTAATATAGGGGCCTTAGTAAGTACGTGTACTACGGTTGATGATATAAATCCTGCATTACCTTAAGGACCATAAACTATGGGAATTATGAGATATTCCTTATTATGGGTAATGCAGGATTTATATCATCAATCGTATTTTGGGGGTTCCTGATTATAGTTACAGTATAATGGGCCCCAAAACCCTATTGCCCGTAGTTGCCGAACCTCCCTCAACCCCAAACCCTAACCCCCCATCCGAAAGCATCAAAGCAATTTAGACACCCTAGAAGCCTGAACAGCGTACACAAAAGACTGAGAAATCCTCATCACCTGAGCCTTAGCACCCTAAGCTCCTCGTACAAACCTGGAAAAACCAAACCACCACCCCCAAAACCCTTGAATTAAATGTAAGAGCCCCTAAACCCTAAACCCAAACCCTAAACCCCTTTCGTAATTTCGGGCGCCAGCCGAACCGAGGAGAAGAAGGAGCAGCTCGAGGCGGCAAACTTCGATGCCGACGGCTCCTCCACTTTTATTGGGTTTGGGGTATATGGGGGTAAGGTACCTTCTTTTGGGGGTCCTTATAATGAGGATCCTACTATTTAGGGGTACCGGTTTGGGGTATAATGGAAGGTTTTATACTAGGGTTTCCGAAAGGGATCCATAAGGGTTCCTGTAAGGGCTCCTATAGGGGATGTGTAGGGTTTAGGGTTTTGAGGTTGGCTTGGAGGGTTTAGGACCCTTATTCGCTTTTTGTAGTCCTAGGTTCCTTATAAAGTTACCCAATACCAGAAAGAGAGGCCTTTTTATTCTTAGGTTACTGGGTATCCTAGTTAATTAAAGTAGAAGCTAGAAAGTTGGAGCACCATTATCCTCATGGCCCTCAAGGTAAAGTAGAGGGAATCCTAGCACAAATCATTCTAAATCCATGTTCCAACTTTCTGGGGTTCGCTATAGGGCTTTGCGGGCTTGGCTTGGATGTAAGGGTTTGACTTGTAGTTTAGGGTTACAGGGTTTTCGTATTGCTTGGGTTCATGTTTAGGCTTAGGGTTATAGGGTTTTCGTATTGCTTGGGTTCATAGAAGAAGGAGTCCTGGGTGGGTGTAGGGCTTTAGTTTTGGGCTGAGGGGTTTGGGGCTCAGGGTTTGCGGGTCATAGGGTTCGAGGTTAGACGGCTTAGGGCTAACTTCAGGGTTAGGGGTCCAGGTGGCCTCAGCAGGAAAAGCACGGAAGCAAGTAGCGCATGGAAGCAACAAGAAAGCCCCTCAGATATAAGCTTGAGTAATTAGCAATGCCAGTCCGTGGGGCGGATACACTTAGTCTAGAACCTATGAGATCTCGCCAAGCTCTTTCCAACTGTTATATAATCCCGAAACCAGCAGCCTCTAGACTCTAAGCAGTCAACCGCCAAGTCCTTGCAAGACGACAAGATCCGCAGGTTTCGCACGTCTTCAACAGGCGAAGCGGCAAGCCGAGGCAAAAGCAACAAGGGCTGAGGGCTTTGCAGCTCTAATGTCGGATCTTTCATGAGTAGAAAAAGGTTCTGGAAGGGCTGAGACAGGGGTCTCAGCGACTAGGCTATGGTGTTGGGATATGTTACATGTCCGGCCTACAGGGGACTCTTCTTTCTACTTGTTTAAGCCTGTACGTGAGAGGGTTTAGGGCTTGAGGCTGAGGGCTTCAGGGTTTCGAGTGTGACGTTTCGACTCCCATTTTTGGGGTCCTTATCATAATTTTAGATATATATATATATATATGTTGATTGAATGACTGCTATGAAGGATATCTTATCGTCACGAAGATGGCAAGTTGTGAAAGTTACTCCGTAAGAACAGTTTAGATGACAGAGTTGGAAAGCGTATAGGTTATTGCATTTATACGCTGTGTTATTGCTTCCGACGCCGACTTTGCTATATGCGATTTCTGTACTTCGCCGTCGGCGTTGCCGTGGTTGTGCATTTCTCTATCTTCAGCAGTGTTCCGAAAATAAGGGACCCTAGTATAGTACCCTAAGAAGTAGGATCCTTATCATAAGGACCCCAATTTAAGATACATCCTCCATGCTCTTCTGACTTCTTCTATTGCTTCCATGGCAGGTAGAGCTCTGCGCCACGCAAGCCGCAAAACCCACAACCGCCACACCAAAAACAGGGTCAGAGGTTGGGGCCTAGGCGCATAAAGCAAAGAGCACAATCCCCTATGGCCGGAGTACTGGGCCCTCAATGCAAACAGTCCCAAAGGCCTCCAACCCGGAGGCCCAGGCTCTTAAAAGGCGGGGTACCCACGCAGTCTTCTAGACACTAAGCCCTGAACCCCTAAACCCCTGAAGCCCTAAACCCTAGGCCTCTAAAACCCTAAACCATCTTGAACCCCTAGACCATCCTAACCCCAAACCGCTACCAAAAAGGCGGAGTACCATTCAAACCTGGGCCCTAAACCTTAAAAGCTAAACTATCCTATGCCCCAAAACCATCCTAAACCCAAAACGCCCTTCGAAAAAGGTGGAGTACCATTCAAACCTGGGCTCATCAAGCCTAAACCCCTAAAGCCCCAAGCCCTAAACCCCAAACCCCTTCGAAACAGGCGGAGTACCACTCAAACCTGGGCTGGCTGGACGGTCTCCGCGGCCACCTGGGCAACCTCGACTTCCAATACACCGATCCCCACAGGCCCCGGGGGCAGGGGTAGGGTTTAGGGTTCAGGGTTTAGAATTTCTGAGGGTTTAGGGTTGTGAACTCCCTTGAGTTCACCTGGTAGCTCGTGACCCTGTCACCAATGATCAAAGATCTGAAGAATGAAAGGTTCCTCAACCGCGAATCCAAGATCAAAAGAAGAAAGAGGCTGCCCTGCAGCTAAACGTTCCCCAGCGTCCCACGCTGTTTTCTCCAGCAGTCCGGCTCAGGCTTCAAAGGTCCATGCAGCACCCAGTGCTGAACCCTACCCGCCCACCTTCGACCCTTGGGCCTGAAAGGATAGGCGGTGCACGAACATGGCCACTCGCTCCTGTCGCAGCTGCAGCTCAAGATTTTCACACTAACCCTATTTTATTGGCCAAGTTCGTCCATCTGACGGTAAGCGACTCGGTACTGCGCCCAAAGATGTTCTGCTGAGAGGAGTCTCAAAAGTGGACTCGATCCTTCATCATCCCATGCGCGATACTTTAGGGGAGTCTTAGGGTAGAGGCCTTAAGACTTAGGGTCGGGGGGAAGCGGCTGAAGGCTGTTGGAGCCACTCAATGGCTTTCCGGCGTTGGGCATCTCTTGCTAGGGATTCTGAGGTATCGAACAAGCGAAAACGGCCTTGCGCAAGGACTGTCCGAAGCAAGGATGGATCCATATTCTTAGTCAAACTGTCAGCTACCTGCAATGTGGTGGGGATCCACCGGAACTGAGCGTTCTCTGCGCAACGCTGCTTAATCAAGAGCACTTCCAACGTCGTGCGATGTTCCTCACAAGTTGGCATGGCTAATCTGGTCACGAGATCAAAGAGGGATTTGCAGTCTGTCACTACGAGAGCAGTATTCAGCAGCTTATAGCTCTTTTCAGGTTGTCGCCAATCGAAATGAGGCACATGTACTACTCCCCACAGTGCACGGAGCCATCCCAAAAGATCAACGGCCTTTGACATCGCGTAAGCTTCGGCTGACAGAGTTGATCGGACCACTCGGGGTATTTTCTTAGAAACCCAAGCAAGAGGAGACACTGGGGCTTCCTGGTTTTTACTGAGCTGACCATTTGTGGCGCATACAAGAACACCCTGATGGGAATTAAGATTCTTCGAGGAGGCGAAGGATGCGTCTCCAAAAGAGACGAAAGTTAGCTGATCTGCCGGTATCGAAAGAAAGTGTACGCAGACCTGATCGAGCTCTTGGGCCTCCCGCAAAACGCGATTTGCAGTCAGCAGCGTCTGCACAGTTGCTGTTGTGATTTGGCTTTGGATTTCCCCTAGTTTAGCGGCTATGTCAGGCCTCGTATGGGTGACCGCGTATTGAACGCTTCCAACCAAACCACGCAGCTTGGAGCGCTCCTCTTCGGTGGCCGGGGATTCTGGGTTCTGCCTTCGACTACGACCTACATCAATGGGCAACACTTGACGGATGTATTCGCCCTGTGAGGCACGGATCGTGAAGTCAGGCATTTGCTCAAGTCGAATACCGGTGAACACGAAATCTCGAAACTTTCGGCTACCGAAGGGCAAGGTTTTCTGCAGAGTCTGAATTTTATCTAGGAAGACGGCATCCCCTCCGCAAACCCCGTCGTCAACATGAACCCCTAAAATGCCATTTAGCTTCCCTTGGGTGTACAGAAGAAAAACACACGGCTCAAGAGGATGCCTAATGAACCCGAGGGCTTCAAGCTGCTTAGATAGCTCTTTGTAGAACAGCAATGGAGCATCAACTCTCCCATACGCATTCCCCAGCAACTGGCAGACTTCGTCATCTTTCATTTGGAGAAGCTGACGGAGTTCCTTCGGGGTTCCATGGCAAGAGGATTACTCTCATCGGCTTAACCCCTTAAGAATGCAGTCTTAATATCAAAGGATCCCAGCGGAAACTTACACGAGGCTATGGTCTGTAAGACTAGCGCTCGACCTTCCTTCGAAAGTGTGGGGGCATCCCTCATAACCTCAACCAACTTAGGGTCCTGGAAACCTAAAACCACTAACCGTGCCTTGGCACGGGGTTGGGATTCACCGGGCTCGGGACTCTTCCAAGTGAGGATCCATCGACTCCTTAAGATCTGCTCGGGATTTAGCCGTCGACGAAGCACTGCACGGATGGCTGAGGTCTGTACCCAGCATTGCAACTCTTTAGCCTTTGCCTGTTCAAACAGCTTTACCTCCTGAGGGGTCAGGTCTTTTACGTTAACCTCAGTCCTAGCACGTTTGCTCACGGCTGCCAAAGTTGCAAGCTGCTCGGGCGCTGCTTCGGATGCCCAACGCTTTAGGTCCTTATGTCTTATGGGAACTTCTAAGCAAAAGGCTTGATGCTCAGCACACTCTAAGGGATTTTCGACATATGGAAGATCATCTTCGGCAAGCGGGGGACCCTGAAAGTTGTCGCTAGTCTGAAGCGTTGTGAAATCCATGATTTCCTCTCCCTGAGAGTCCCGAACACCCAACTGGTGACTAGCTAACAGGGCTGTCTCAGTGTAAAGACCCTCCTCGCTGTCGGGCACAGGGATGCTTGCGACATCAATCTGTCCAGGATCACTATACTCTACGGTCGGCTGCACGGAATCAGAAGGAGCTGCGGCATCGCGCTCAACTTCTGGCGCATCAAGGGAAACTGGAGCTTCCGTCTGAATGCTTACTTGAGGCGTAAGCTCTCGCTCGGGTTGAGCAATGTCATTATCGCCTTCTCCATTTCCCTGAGCGGCGGACGCGCCAGACACAGGAACTGGTGACAAAACAGCCAGCTCAGGAGATCCTGAGGGTGAGGCATTCATCGAGGAATTGGGTATCGCGGTGATTTCTGGATTGGGAATCGTGAGGTCAACAAAGGTACTGGCGCCTCCAACTCGAGAAACAGTCTCGGAATTTGACACGGACGTCGAGAGGCTCTGCCACTCCATTCTCCGGAGCACACCGGAGGATTGTTGCTCCGTGAGCAACCCAAACTACGGACTGCCCTTCTTGGCAGATGACCTTGGCCGGACCGTGCCACCTACCTGCTGCAAGCCGGTTTGGCGATGTCTTCTTAGTCCAGTACAGAACCCATGACCCTGCAGCAAACGGACCTCGCACCGGATGACTACGCCTCAACATGGCCCGCCGGATTGTTTGGCAGTTGTCGGCTTCGAAGAAGGCTTGTCGAGCCCTACACCGTAGGTCCAATCGTCTTCGGTGGGCCTCGGCTTCAAGATCATCTCCTTCGGTCAGTGCGTGAGAACTCCACTCCTCGTCGGAAGTGATACTTCCGGGGATGCGAACAGACTTCCCCAAGACAATCTGTTCTGGAGCATAGCCTTTATGACGGACCAAAGCATTCTTAGCATTGAAGACCTGATGAAGTGCCTGATCAAGCGAACTATCGTTGGTGATTGGGGATTCTTTATCTAGTCGGCTCAACATGCTCTTTACGATATCACCGTGGAGCTCGACTCGACCCCTTTGCCAAGCAGCTGCGGTGACAAATGTTTTGATGTTTTGGCGCTGAAAGGCTTCCAAGGTGGCTTCCGATCGAAATTCCCCGGCTGGGTCAACATACACAAGCTTAGGGGTTCCTGCCCAGGAGAACCAACTATCCCGTAGGTTGCTCAAGGCTTCAGCTCCGAGTCGTGAATTTGATCGGCGTCCCAGGTGGAAGCAGCTGGATTCGTCAAGCACGTGAACAACATAGGCTCGATAACCAGCCTGGCCCTTAAAGAAAAACCCGTCAACTCCAAGAACATCATTAAACTCTTTTGGTTCGGGCAACTTACTGGGTCTCTGATGGCGAGGCAACGTAGACTCTAAACACACGTCACACTGATAATCCAGCGCTGCTTCGACGAGCTGCTTGTCTTCACCAGCGGCACGCAGGTGCTCGGAAAGCTTCTTGGGATCTGGGTGACCTAGATTGTTATGGGCTCGGATAAGCTGGGTCTTGAGGTCCTTAGGCAATCTACGGAAAGCAGGCCCATGAAGAGGAACTGGTGGAGGCGCCCATCCTTCCATGTCGGGTTTTGGGACCTCGTCAGGTTGGGAAGTCCCAGGGGACTCAGCGTTACGATTCTGAGCAAATATTGTTATCAGTATTTCGGCGGCAGGAATCCGAGCTCGTTTGCTGGTGCCGGGCATCGTGGTGCGGTCCTCTTGTCCGAGAGACTGAAACACTGCTGCTTGCCCCGGGGGCTGACGCTTGCACACAGAAATTCGCCAAGGAGCTACTGTCGGAGGCAGGGCACCAAGCGGATATTGGACACAAAAACCTGAAGGATCCCGAGATCAGGAAACCGCTCTTGAAGGAGCTCTAGGAGGCGACTCTGAGGGGGAACTAGAGTTGAACTCGCCTTGACAGCATGCTCCACGGCTGACTCAAAGATGGACTGCCACTGTGCATCAGGCAGGACTTCCGGCGCTTGCACAGACGCCGAAGGTTGTGCTGCGCTGGACTCCTTCCTCCTAGCCTTCCTAGCTATGCCTTCCCCTGATTCGGGCTCACTCGCTCTCTTTTGGGCATCCAGGGTGTTGCGGGATCGGGACATACCTAGCGACGTCTTAAACCTTTTACGGGTTAAGGGCTGTCCTTGATCAAGGGCTAAGGCGGACTCATCTCTAGCACGCATCAGAATCTCGGCTACATGTCGAGAAAATCCCAAGCAGTATGAACCAGCCTGATGCGTCCTGCCCAAAAGCTGTCGGAAGCGGTGAGTCAGGGGCTGATGCGCAGGATGTCCCGGGCACTGTTTTTGCACAAGACTACGGACCAGCTCTGCAAAGGTACTAAAGACCACAACCTTCTTTCGAATTGGGATCTGCTGTATGGGAGTTGAAAGTCCAAAAGCACACATGTCGACAGTTGCTCGCTGGGTCAGTTTGATGATTGGTTTACACTCGTCTTCATTTGTCATACAGGAAGAAATCGGCTGCTCAAGGTGAAAATGTCTGTGATTCTTGGTTTGCCATTCGCAAATTTTGGCACACAAACGAACATGAACAAGCTCTCGCTGTCGGTGCTCTTTTAGGGTTTGGGGCCCAGCGAGATTTTTGGCGCTGTTCAGGCGTGCCCAGGAGCACCAGTAGCGGCTGTCGGGAGACATCCAGATATGCCGAGGCTGCGTGCGTTGCAAAAGGTTCCACAGCTTTCGCTGACCTTCAGCCGTTTCTAGATCTCCTTCACCTATAGTAAAGCGCTGGGCCAGGCCACCTAGCGCTCGAACCTGCTCTGTTAAACGACTATCGGGATTTGCATATATTTCAAGTACATCCAATTGAGGCTCACTGGGTTGGGAATACGTCAACATGGAGTCTTGGTACACATTCCACGCAGCCTCCTCAGCCTGTTGGTAGGCCTGAGCACAAGCATCGGCAGCCATTTGTGCCGCCTCGGGCAACGGCGACTCCAGCAGATCACTTGCAGAAGTCAGTTCCCGACGAAGGTCAGACGATTCGGGAACGGACTCAGAGGCAGACGCTTGGTGTATCGAGCTCGGGACTACTCTAGTCTGCGGGCTCTCAACCAGATTGGTCATGGCAAACCGAACTCGGGGAATAATAGGCAATTGAAAACCAAGGGATTTCATCAGGGCTCGGTCCTCATCGGGCAACTTAGGTGTAGCCTTCAGACAATAACCTATTGCCAACACTCGATCACCGGTCCAGGGCGCAGTAGCATGCCAGCAGTGCGGATCAAGATACATGCAGGGCTTAAGAGCCACTAACGTTCCCGACACGGCAGAATGACCGCACAGGCGATCCTGAGCTGGTTGCCGAGCGTGCGGGGATTTGGCTACCCAGAGCTGACCACCGGTGTCGGGGTATTCTAGAGGTACTACGAGGTTCTGGAATTGTTCAGAGTTGTACACATCTCGATGAGGCTCAGCATTGGCATTGCACGACACACCTACAGAGGAGAATCGATGCTGGGGATCACTTAGGTGTATTAGGGACGTAAGGGCTCGAGTGATCCAAGGGTATTGTCTTGCTACGGAAGTGACTCCCACTATTCCTCCGTGAACATACATCCCAAACGTCACGTAGGCTAGGGGTCTCTTAGCATCGGGATTTGGGGCAATCACGGCGGCCCGGGCAGTACTTTCGGCAAAGAGGTGCCACGGCACCTTTCGCAGGAACATGCGAAGCTCAGACAGCGTGGGCTGACTTTGCATCAGCGCCTTGGCGTGGTTTTCAACATCGCGAGGACTTACGCTAGCTTGCTTAACAAGATCATTCAACTCACGCTGACATTGAGCAACTTCACTCACGAGGAGCTCGGGGGAGCATTCAGCTGGCGGATGGCTGAAATCATTTCCTGCATCACTTGCTCCATTTGGGACATGCGACTGTTCAGAGTCGCCACTTGGTCCTGGAGCGCAGGCTCCTCCAGCATTTCCCAAGGGATCTCGGGACCGTCCTCGCGAGCACGGGCCTTTGGCGTAGCTTGACTCAACATGCTCGTCTTGCGAGGCTTGTCCGACTTGATCACGGCGGGTTCGCCACGTAGCTCGACCTCGAGCTGCTCCGCCTGGCTCACATATTTTTCCACGAAGTTGATGAACACCTTGTGTTCCCGTTTGCCACTGTCGTGGTAGTGATCCACGAACCATTTGGTCCAGTCGGAACCTTCCTCCACGCAGTCCATGAAGGTGCGGCCCTTCATTTTTGTACCAAAGTTCACCAGAAAGGCACCGTGCTTTTCGAGGCTGAGTGCCTCGATCTCGGCCATGCTGAGACTCATGGTGGGGTCTCGCAGCTTGACCAAACGAGTGCCGAGACTGGCTGTCGGGGCACGGGAAGTCGGCGCCTCGACATCTTGACTGCTCTGCGCCATGCTGGGGGGCTGAGCGAGGGTCGGGACTGCGGATTGCACAATTGAGCTTCGGAGCGGCTTGCGGGACCGCAGTTCGGCTCACACTTGCCTGAGCTGGAGCTGTATCTATGCTACCAGGTGTTCTCGTGGGCACCGGCAGGCATTCGTTAACGGCGCTGGCAACACTATGCTTCAACGCTGGTTTTGAATTCTCTACCCGAGGGCTTCTAAAGGAGCGAGGAACCGCTATACATCCCAAAGTTCTCTTTCCTATACCCAAGGGCTCACTAAGCATGCACGGGTCTTCGGCAGCGGGAACATGAGGCGGATCTTCGGCAGCAAGTGAATTTGCAGCCTCATGGTAACTTTCTTCACACAGCTTTGACAGGTCGATCATGTATAGCCCCGTTGGGCCGGTCTGCATCTGAAGCGAACGCTGAAGGCGGCGAAGTTCGCACACATCAGTCACGGTATTGATGACCCCTCCTAGCTGCTTGATAGCCTTCTTGCTGAACAGTAAAGGTGTATGACCCGGTACCACCTCTATCCCTAGCCACAAAACCTGGTGATCCGTTGTTCCGAAAGGCAGCAAAATGCGGCAATCACTCATTAAGGTCTGATTGTTACCAAACCGAAACCGAATGGCACTCTTCTGCACCCGAATCTTGGAACGAACGGAATCACTCAGCTGGCCAATGAACTTCTGAAGCAAACTCTTGCCCATCACACAACGGCTGGCACCCGTATCAAGGATAGCTTCAACATGACTAGCTTGCTGGGCAAGAGTCGCCACCTCAGTTGCAGCACACCTAACATGTTTCATGTCAGGGCAAAAGGCATCAGTCGAGGCTGGTTCCCCACTGCTGCGCGGCCTGAGGGATTGTTGCTTCAGCAAGTTGTGGCGATTTTGCAGCTTTCGGACTAGGTTCTGGAGATTAGGGAGGACCGTCTTAGGGGGCACAGGATTGTACGTGCAAAGCGCCTCCTCCAAGGTCAAGGCATCAGCTGGCAAGCTGGTCAAAATCTCCTGAGTGACGGCTTGATCTGCGACCTGGGAGACATCCATGAATGCCTCGGCCACCGTCGTGGTGGCTTCGCTACTCGGGTTTCCCTTGCGGCGGGGACATTCCGCTTTCCAATGTCCTTTTTCCCCGCAGATCCGACAGTTCGAGCGAGCAATACGAGCCAGAAGCTGCTCTCGATGCTTGCCCTTGCCCTTGCCGCCACCCTTGAAACTGCGACCGCCCTTGGGAGCACCCTTGCTTCCTCCAATCGGCCAGAAGCCGCGGGACTTCTTCTTAGCGAGCAAGCGATTGCCCGCTTCCATGTAGCTCACCAAGGCCTCTTGAAGCTCAGGAGTATCCTGGAAGAAGCTTTCCAACTCCTCCTCGAATGCCTGAACCTGCAAGGCGTCTTGGTCCTCCGAAGCCAACATGGCTTCCATGAAGCCCTCATCGAGGTCCACTTCGGCCTCTTCGACGGCAGCGCTTGCCGTCATCGCCGGAACCATCTTCTCGCTCCGGAGGTTCCTCCACCACATTGGCATCGTAGGTCCGTGACTTCATCACCCTCTGACCCTGCAGATCGGCAAAGAATCGGGACCCCAAAAGCCGAATCGATGAGCAGACCTTCTTGTAGTCTAGGCTTCCGCCAAGCTCCAAAATGATCTTCTTCCGATCCTCTGAAGTAAGCTGGGACTGGCGCAACAATATGTAGGCACGTACTTGTTCAAATGTCACGCTCTGCGACAACAGCTCCTCGAAGTGAACGTCATGTCTGGCCAAGTAACTATCGTTCGTCTCATCCTGCTTCTGGACGGTGCCGTACAAGGCCTTCTCGAACACGTCATACTTCGCCTCGAGGTCTGTCTTTCCCCAGGATCCACCCAGAGTAGAAACCAGAAGCTTGATCCCAGACTCATCGCTGCTCTTAAGCTTGTCTGGCGGTAAACTGGCGATCTTCTTGAAGGCCGTGCCTTCCACCTGAAGAGCTGCCCGCGGGGCGAGCAAACTCAAGTGTTCCTTGGGCCACATGGCCGCCAGGAACTCCAGCTTCCTGCTGTACTCCGTCACATCTGTCGTTCCAGGAATGAACTTCGGAATAGCCGCCCATGGTAACTGAAATCCCGCTGATTCCTCGGCCGTCGTCGGCCCGGTTGAGGCCGTCGCTGGCTGCTGTGTAGGAGGCATTGATATCCCGAAATGGAAAACCCAGAGGTCAAGATTGGATCGGCCGCTTTTGCGCAGATAGCGAAGCTGTAGGCTCCGCTACCAGTGTGAACTCCCTTGAGTTCACCTGGTAGCTCGTGACCCTGTCACCAATGATCAAAGATCTGAAGAATGAAAGGTTCCTCAACCGCGAATCCAAGATCAAAAGAAGAAAGAGGCTGCCCTGCAGCTAAACGTTCCCCAGCGTCCCACGCTGTTTTCTCCAGCAGTCCGGCTCAGGCTTCAAAGGTCCATGCAGCACCCAGTGCTGAACCCTACCCGCCCACCTTCGACCCTTGGGCCTGAAAGGATAGGCGGTGCACGAACATGGCCACTCGCTCCTGTCGCAGCTGCAGCTCAAGATTTTCACAAGGGTTTAGGGTTGTAGGGTTTAGGGTTCAGGGTTGTAGGGTCTACCTTAACCCCGGAATAGCCTATACCGTTTTAGGGACTTATATAAGGAAATCATAATAGGGAACCCTAAAGAGGCAGGTTCTTGTAGGGTTCAGGGTTCAGGGTCTACCTTCACCCTCCCAACTCCTACTTTTTTGTAGGGTCCCTATATTTTCATATTAGGGTTTATAATAAGAACCTACAAAAAGGTAGGGTTTGGTAGTTTAAGGTATAGGGTTCAGGGCTATACCGATCCCACACGCCGGGTTTTGCAAAAGGGCAGCTATTGGGGGTCTTTAGGGAGCTTTTTCGATTCAGGGTTTTAGGGATGTCTAGCATGGTTCTAAAAGGCTACACTTCTTTCAAAAGCCCGTAATTACAACCCTTGCAACACCTCAAACAGAACCACTGAAACCCTACATGGAGGTTCATGGGTAGTTAGAAGTGGGGCTACAATTAGGGTAACTATGGTTACAACCCCTATCAGGGGACTTATAACCCCATTTATAACCACCCATGAACCTCCAAGTAGATCAAACTTTAAAATCCTAGGATGCCCAGTAGTACCCTTATTCCCTTTTTTGTAGTCCTAGGTTCCTTATAAAGGTACCCAGTACCAAAAAGGGAGCCCGTTTTATTCCTAGGATACTGGGCATCCTAGAATCAGCTTTTCAGACCAGGAACTTCAACCGCTCCTTGGTGAAGGGAGTCATGGCCAAACTCTTCCACATCAAGCCGGAGTTCGTGTTGGCCCCGGTTTGAGCGTTAAGTGCAAGGCTATGTGGGGTTAGGGTGTAGGAGTTCCCTGGGTTTGGGGCTTAGGGGTATAAGGCTTGTGGGGGTTTTAGATTTTAGCGGTCCGGATCTATGGGTTTGAGCTGAACAGCAACTCTCCGACATGCAGAGGCATCAGATTTAGGGGTTCGGGGCTTCGTTGGTTTCGTGTTTATGGGAGTCTCCACCATGAAGAGGCCGCATATCACAAAGTAGGGATGCTTTGAATGTAGAGCTTTCCTAGGGTTTGAGAGAGCGAGAGAGGGAGGGATTTTGCGCATAGCAAGGAATGCCTTGAGTAGTGTGGAAAACTATGAGCTATTCCTAAAGGCTTCCAACTGAATGCTTCATATTGGTTCTTGAGACTCAAATCCCCCCAAGATGACAATAGTAATAACTTCGCTTGTTGACCTCGCACATGCTGGATGCAGTTGACTGTCTATCCTGACGCGCACCTGTTCTATCAATCCCTGATCGAGCACAATCACCCCAGTAGGGTAGTAGACCTTACCTATAGTCTCCATTGCAGTTCCTTCTGCTGGTTAACCAAAATCTCTTTGATAGGATCCTAACCATAAAACTGGTTAACCAAAAAAGGAACTACAATGGAGACTGTACTTGGAGGGTCGAGGGACTTAGTAAGTAGGTAGTAAGTAGACTTATAAGTACCCTAAAAGGGACCCTCATTGGGGTTATGGTACTTACAAGTCCCCAAAATAGCCACTTACTAAGTCCGCCGACCCTCCAAGTAGGTAGAAGGCCTACACCCTAAACTGCTTAAGCCCTCGACCCCAAAAAGTGTCATGGCATCTCGAGGCCTACTTCCACCGAGCACTGGAGGCCGGGAAAGGAGCTGAGAGACCTGAAGTGAGCTTTGGGCATCCTACGGTTTAGGGTTAGGGTTTAGGGTTTAGGGTTTAGGTCGAGTAGGTAACCTTTAACCTTTTTTGAGTAGTATAGTCCCTATATAAATCCTTATATAGCCTAAAAGGTGAACCTTTAGTTCCCCATGATACCCGACAAGTAGGGCATTACCGATGTAGGGTCCAGTGGGGGGCGCCGAGTAGTAATCTGTCAGGATGTCACCTTATAGCCCATATCTTGACACGGACTAACCTACCTTTTTAAGAACTTATATAAGGAAGTCATAGTGGGGAACCCTAAAAAGGCAGGTTCTTGAGGGTCTAGGTAGACCATCATACTGTTGATGGACAAAATCCTGCATTACCCATTATAAGGAATATACCATAATTCCCATAGTTTAGGGTCCTTAGGGTCATGCAGGATTTTGTCCATCAGCAGTATAGCCTGAAGTCCCTAGTTGACTTATTCAGCCCCTGGGTTGGCGCTGGAATTCGGCTGTTTGGGATTACCGCTTTTCCTAGGCCTCCCGGTGGCCCTTTTTCCCTTTTTGTAGTCCTAGGTTCCTCATATAATTTCCCAATACCTAAAATCTTTTTATTCCCAGGTTGCTGGGCATCCTTAATAAGGACCCCTAGGTATATACCCTTAATATAGCTATTATATACCCATTATATAGCCCATTATAGGGTAGGGGTCCCCATTAAGGGTATCCTAAACCTTAAGTTTCTCTAGGCATTGGACCCGGGATGTTGGGTTCAGGGCTTCCCACTTTCACTTTCATCTGAACCGGTGCCGAAATTCGGCAAGGTGTCTCAGAAGAGTTCAACGGCACGAAACTCTGTGCAACGTGAACGCCCTAAATCCTAAACCCAGAAGACGCCACCAACTGAGAAGTTTTTGACCGGCCTTCAGCATTGCAGAATTGCCCGTCTCTACCTCCTGCAACCCTTAAGCTGCAGGCCGCTAATCTTGAGAGCCTTGTGTCATACACGCCAACAAAGCCCCAAATGCCCAAACCTCAATAATTAATAATTACCAATAAAGTTTTGGGGGTATAGGTTTAGGGTTTAGGGTTTAGGGTTTAGGGTTTATAGACTAATGGGCCCCAAAACCCTGTTTGATTTGTTAAGGCCCCTACATTACCCCGTGAGACCCCCAAGTCCTGAGCCACATGGGTGGTTGTCAAAATTAGGGTCTCTTTTCGGATAGCCTAAATAGTAGGTGCCGTAGTAGAATAAGGACCCAAAAAGGGACCCTACTATTGACAACCACCCACATTTCAGAGACAGGTTTGCGCCGGCGGCAGGCTCTTCTTCGTCATCGTCGACAACGAGGAGCTGAGACTCCATCGCCGGTAGGTGTAGGCGGTTTAGGGTGTAGGGTTTTGGGGTTTAGGGTTTTATTGTTTAGGGTTTAGGGTTTTAGGGTTTTGGGGTTTAGGGTTTTAGGGTTTTAGGGTTTAGGGTTTAGGGTTTAGGTAGGTTTCGATGTCTCGCGGGCGGTGACAGCATTCGTGCCAGGAATGATAGACCGTGATCAAGAAGCGCCCCCTCGACCATAAGTTGTGGTACCTACCAGTACCTTTCGTTTCGATGAGAAGTCTATAGAGGTACCTATTCATAAGCATGCTTTCGGGCCCTTAAGTTACACCTCTAAACCCTAAACTACCATCCATAATCTCGGGGGCAGGGGCTGCAGGGCCTGGGGGCATTTGACGAGCTGCTGAAACCAGAGAGCCCAAGACATGCGAAAGGAGGTGACGATCGCCAAACTGCCAACCCGAAATCCCGAAGCCCTAAACACCCCAAACTCAACCCGAATTCCCACAGCAACGTGGTTTGTTTGGGGTTTTTGAGGATTTAGGGTTAGGTTTTGTTTGCGGGTTTGGGCTCTAGGGCTTGCGGTTCATCAGAGGCGTGTGTGCTTGGGGGTTTCGTATGATGAGGAGACAACGGGTCCTGCGGTTGATGATATAAATCCTGCAGTACCCATACTAAGGAATACAGCAAAATTCCCACAGGTCAGGGTCCTTAAGGTAATGCAAGATTTATATCATCAACAGTTGAGGGTGGAGCCTACATGTACCCTGCTATAGTGCCATATCAGTTATAGCATCTCCTCAGGTAGTTTTCCTACAATAGCACCCCAAAAACCCACTGATCCAACTATTACGTAAGTCCCCTACTTGGAGGCTCATGGGTAGCTATAAGTGGGGATATAATTAGGGTAACTATGGCTATAACCCCTATTAGGGGGCTTATACCCCCATTTATAACTCCCATGAACCTCCAAGTACATGTCAGTTCCATGGCGGCAGGAGACGGGTAAAGCCCTGCTGGAGAAGGGTCAGCTCAGGCACCGCGAGATTCCATCAGCGCTTACCACAGGGGCTTTAATAATTACCGATACTATTTTAGGGGCTCCTTATTGTAACTATAGTATTAGCCCTAAACCCTAAACCCTAAACCCTAAACCCTAAACCCTAGTATAGTATACCCCAGAACCCTGTTCTGATTTTGTACGGCCCCTATAGTATTGGAGAAGGGCTTCTTACTCTCACTGCGGGTTGATGATATACATCCTGCAGTACTTTGAATGACCCCACACGATGGGAATTATGGTAGACTATTATGGGTAATGCAGGATCTATGTCATTAGTGTAAACTGGGGCAGGAATAATTATTCAAACTATTTCTCAGGGTTCCTGAATATAGTCTGAGTTTAGTGTCAACTACCTTTGAGCTTTTAAGTTCCGAAACCCTCAACTCAAAACCCAAAACCCAAAACCCTAAACCCCAAACCCTAAACCCAAAGCCCTAAACCCAAAGCCCTAAACCCAAAAGCCTAAACCCAGAACCCTAAACCCCCCCAAACCCACTTCAGTCTTTGGCAGAGGAGCCCCCAAGGCTCTGAGGCTTTGTGCCCCCCAGGGCCCTAGAGGTCCAAGTACT